AATTAAAGAAACTGACAAGGGAAAAAGCTTTCAATACAATGTCAACCAAAGCCACAATGTCAAAGACGATAATACATACTGACAAACATATCATTGCATAATGCCAAAAGTGTTAGTGCGTAATGCCAAACATGTCAATATAAAATGTCAAAAAAAAATTGAAATGTCAAGATTGCCAACATACAATGTCAAGTTTCTTATCACTATCACCAAATTTTGCTGAAATTGTGAGTCAATTTGAACACAATTAATAGAATAACAATCAAACAAAAAAAATAAAAAGAAAAGCAATCAAATACAAAAATGAAAAGAAAAAACCAAAACAAAATCATAGCCTAATGAAGCATCGGCGGCTGAGATTCAAATGGTACAATTTAAGCTTCTCATCATGGCGGCAGTGACAGAGATTAAAAGGACATCGACATCGATGATGGTAGAGGCGTTGTGTCAGCGGTGATAGAAGCGCGATATCAGCGGTGGTAGGGGCATTGCAGCGGTTGGGGTGCCGGCGTTGCCGACGGCGGCATGACAGAGTTGAGCAACCATTGATGGAAATTTTGTACAGTTGAGCAACATTGGCATTGAACAATTGAGCGCGGGCTGCGCGGCATGACACAATTGACTGGAGAAGAAGATACTCCTATTTTGGGGGTTTTTATCTTTCAACTCCTATTTTGGGATTTAATCAATATTTTACTCCTATTTTGCTCCTTAACCATTTGACTTTCCAAGGTCTCCAATGCAATATCTTGATCATTAGTATCTCTATTTATATATATATAAATATAAATATAAAATATATATGATATTTCAAAACTACCTTTTAAGATTAATCTACTTGCATTAAATTTATACTAAAATTAAATATATTTTTCTACAATTTCGTGGTCAAAATTTTAAAATATTGATTGCAAAAACCAAAATAGAAATAAAGATACACGACGAACGAAGTGATCGATAGGGAACTCAACATTTTCTCTCTTAAAATTTTGGAGGCCCTTTGGGCTTTCATTTTCTTGAGGCCTTCAGAGCCACCAATGTGTATCGAATAATTCTTCAGGAAATAATTGGCTTTTAAATTCATGTAAACTACGTTTTTTATTTTTTGTCAACCCTAAAAAATGAACCTTTTAAAAAGTAAATTTGGCAAATAAATACTCCTTAGTTCACAAATCACAACTCTTCCCTCGCCTTAGACTATTGTTAACCATACAAAAAAGTACTAACCGGACAAACTGTTTGGATATTTGAAATTAATATAGCAATTCCATTAGGGTGTATGTAGTTTTTGTTACTGTGCATTTAATGTACTCCCTCCGTCCCAAATTATTTGCAAAGTTTACCTTTTCAGCAGTTGCGGGAACTTTTGTTTATTTCTACGTTTTCATTGGTTATTTGATAAAATAAAATACTCTTGACGGCTCTTATTTCGAATAACTTTTCATGTATTTTTTTGATATGTAAATTTTATTTTATATTTCTATACCAATATGTAAATAAAATGAATTGAAAAGACTTGATATTTTGCCTCGGGAATCTATAAGAGTAGCCGTTACTTGTTGAATATAGCTTTTCCTAATGCGGCGTTGCAAATGGGAGACAACATTGACCGAATCTGGAGGAACAAAGACGTTGCCGGGATTGGACAAATAGGGAAAATGAGCCAGCCCCAGCAAGCTACGGCAGGCGAGCCGCCCGGTGATGGCGACTGAAAGGTAAAGGGTGGACGACGGACTATGGACTGGTCGTTGAACATAGTTCAACGAATCCCCTCTTCGAGCGACTCCCGTTGGTCGTACCTCTCCTTTTAGTCGAATGAGTTGAACATATTTGAATATAAGTGTGGCAAATATTTAGGGACGGAGAGAGTACGCTATTGTTGAATTTCTCGACTGGAGTAGTAATAATATAAAAAAAGATATATACTGTGTGTGTATACAAAAAAATGTCCCATATTAATTCTCTGTACATCGTTAGATTGAGATTAATATAAAAAAGATATATACTGTGTGTGTATACAAAAAAATGTCCCATATTAATTCTCTGTACATCGTTAGATTGAGATTAATATAAAAAAGATATATACTGTGTGTGTATACAAAAAAATGTCCCACATTACTATATATCGTTATGAATCAAATTCGATCACAACACTCTTTTACACTTCTTAGCAACCACCTGAGCTATGTCCGAAACCTAGACTCAAATTAGTCACTTGGGCATTAATTTTAACGCAAATCGAATTAAAATTTATAATTTGAATAACATCTTAAATCTAAAATTTAATAATTACTCCGGGGCACAACTCAGAGTCTTGGTATAAATGGTATTGTTTTCGTTTAACTCAATTTTAAGCTCTCAAGACTAAAAACTTGACTTAGAAAACTTGAATCTTAATTTGAACTAAGAACCAACAAATTCAACTAGACCTAAGCTAACGCTAACACGGTTTAATTAGTGTGTTAAAAGGTAATTAGTGAATTTTTTAAATATTGTTAAAGTGTAATCCTTTTTGTCAATAGACTTATTGACAGACTTTACTCGTTCTAGCATGGGGGACTTTTTGTTAAATCCCTTTTCCCCACTTTCAAGTTTCACCATCATATTACGGAGTATTACCTTGCAAAGTGAAACCAAAACTTTTGAATAACACTAAGAAGTGAAGGGAATATAATCACCTTTTGACTTTTATGGATATACACTGCCTTACGCCTTCCATAAAGTATTTTTTTAGTTTTATTTTGTTGCAATAAGTCAAAATTAATGTTTGACTTATAATTAAATAAAGATTGAATGGAATATTAAGTAAGTAAAATTAGGGGTGTTCATGTTTAGGTCCAGTCCGAAAAAACCGACCGAACTGGACCGATAGGTCCAGACCGAACCCGGACCGAATGAATTTTGGGTCGGTCTTCGGTCCTGATCATTGGAAATATCGGGCTTCGGTCCGGTCTGGTCCATACCCGATTTCTATTCGGTCCGGACCGAATGGACCGACATTACCCATTTATTCCATATTTAAACTTGAAGTCAAGGCTCATAACTTGGCCCATTTAATGTTTTTAAAGGGCCTGCCTCCGTCCCAAATCTGAATCCATTTATGTTATGTTTGGAAACATGAATTTGGATTTCAAATCCGGATTTGGCTCAAATTTCATGTTTGGGAAACTTAAAAATTTTAAATTTGGATTTGTGGCAAATTCTTTTCATTCATAACAAAGCTTAATTTGAAATCCATGTACCACCCCTTGTCATATGAAATTCAAGATGTTAAATTTTGGAATTGAAATGCATGAATTGAAATGAAATACTAGTTGCCAAACACTACCTTAATGATTTCAACCTCTCTCTCCCAAACCTATTTCTGCCAAACTAAACTTCATCCAGATCTGATCGATCTCTACGACTTTGTTTGCCTCTCCATCATCGAGAGAGAGAAACCTCTGAATTTGATTTCTCGCGACTAATTACCATAGTTTAGTATCAATTCAGTACTAAATCTGGTTTAATGTTCAAATTCTTCTACCCACACGGCCACACACAATGCTACGATTCTAACTCAGATTAGTTTTTGTTTTTTTTTTGTTTTTTGGTCTTCTCGGTCCTAGCCGGTTCGGTCTAAGTTATTTCGGCCTGGTTCGGTCTTAAACCGATTAGTTATAGGTCTGGTCTTCGGTCCAAATTTTTTTCCATCTTGGTCTTCGGTCTGGTTCGGTTCGGTCCGGTCCGGTTCTGGACTGATGAACAACCCTAAGTAAGATGATATTTTGAAAATATTTTACAAGGTAACTATAAGGTTGCAGGGTATGGATAGATTAGAACTAATGTGGTACCAAAATAAGGTTATGTGTCACTTTGGCAAAGAGGGTAACATTACCCCTTACTTTTAGTACCAAATTTTTTGCCGATCATACTGGACGAGATTACTTTCTATTTAAGTGTAATATTTCTTTCCATCACATGTGAACTTTATTTTTTAAAAAATGTGTGTAATTTATTTTAATTTGAGGATGAGGAGAGTATAATATACTACTTCCGTTCCAAAGTATTTATCGAGTTTTGAGTTTTTCAGTCATCCGTTTTCAACCTTTGACCTATAATTAAATAAAATATATATTGTGTATTAATTTGATAAAATAATATAATGAAAATATTTTATATTATATACGGAGTATCTAATAAAAAATTTGTATCAATATCTAATATCATTTCTATTTTATTTTACGGACAAAATTTACCAAATTTGACCGGAAAAATTCAAAAATAGACATATACTCTGAGACGGAGGGAGTACACTATATGACCCATATATGGTCATGTCCATATATATATATATATATATATATATATATATATATATATATATATATATATATTGGTATAATTTCTTTTTTTTCCCTTGATGAGTCATGCCCTACCTGACAATATAATAATGTCTCTCAATAGTGATAGCGCGTATGGAGGGTAGTTGACAATTGAGAGAGATATCGAACTCTAATATTGATATCTCCCTATTTGGCAAGGTATTAAATTCAAAACCAGTTTATACTTCACTAAACACCACATATGAAAGAGTTGTGATATCTGGAGTTGTCAAATCTCATATGTCTTAAATTGTATTCACAAAACACACCTTAAAAAGAAGGTTGAATGTCACCCCAAACACCCTCACAACTTGGCTCGACAAAGTAGGGAGAATGTAAATCACGATATGATATAACGTGATCTTTTGAAAGTCGTCTTGTGCCACATGCTTGGAAAGAGCTATTAAAATTTATAAATATCTCAAATTGTCAATGCCGGGAATTGATATTGTGACCTCGAACTTAAACTCTACCCATCTCCATAAAATTTAAAAGTGTCCCCATTAAAAAAAATTGTGTGCCCCCGGTCAAAGAAATAATAATTTGAAAAGAAAAGTAAAATTATTTAAATAAAATATAAATGTAAGTATTTGTAACGTTTTAGTTATATTAAATATGATATACTAATTATGAGAGAGAGAGAGAGTGGCCCTTCCAGATTCTCAGCCCCCAGATGGCGAGAAAGCGAGGAAGACCGAAGAAACCTAATGGAGCTCGATCCATGACGAATTCACCGCAATCAGAGGGTAGAAATCCTGAGGGAGAAGCCAGCGCTGCAATTGACAGATCTGGGAAGCAAAAATTGACGCCAAAAACTCCCTACGAGGTAATGAACCCAATCCTAAATCAGCTGGAAATAGATGAATCTAATATGAAGAAGCAGTATAATGGAGGCTTAAATATTGATCTGAATCTGAAAAAGAAACAAGCCTCGTATGCTGACATAGTGAAAGGGTCTGATATTGAATGTGAATTGTCGTATGTACCGGCAGAAGAAATTAATGGACAGTCTGTTGCTAAGATCAATAAAGATGATATAATTGAGGACTTAGGATGCTGGGATCAATCCATCATTGTCTGTGTATTAGGAGCTAATCCTCCATTGGAAATCATAGATGGATATGTAAGAAGGATATGGAAAATGTACACCATAGAAGATGTAACGTATCTCAAGGAGAGGCAGTTTATCGTTAGGTTCAGTAAGATTGAAGAACGTGATGAAGCACTTAAACGGAAGTACTATTATTTTGACAATAAGCCAGTGTTTACCAAAGCTTGGTGCCCTGGAACTAAAATAGACATCACTGAGCTGAAGGACATCCCTATCTGGGTTCAATTTCCAGGGTTGAATATGAAATACTGGAGTTTAACTGGATTGAGAAAATTGGGCAGTGTTATTGGCAAGCCAATAAGAAGAGACAAGGCCACAGCCACTAGAGCAATGTGGGCATTTGCTCGAATTCAAGTTGAGGTCCAAGTGCAGCAGGATTTTCCAGAGATTATTCATTTTGCTGATGAAGAGGACAGGATAATATCTCAAGCAATGGAATATGAATGGAAGCCCACAATATGTTCTAAATGCAATAAGATGGGTCACATTGCTGATAACTGCAGGAAATCAAAGGAGACTAAAACAGGAGCCAACCCTATCATCAGGAAAGAGTGGAGACCAAAACAGAAAAAAAATGAGGCGAATGATCTGAAGAAGGAAAAGGAATCTACAATAGAGGTGCCACAGTTTCAAACTGAGGTTCAGGTCAATCTAGAGGATGACCTAGGGAAAAACAAGTATGAGGAAGATCAAGAGGGTTTCCAGGAAGTACCTAAGAGGAAGAGTGCAAGAAGATTAACTATAGATGATCTGTATAAGGGAGGAGGAATGAATGATGTCCCTTATACAGGGCATTATCCATTTTTATCATGATATTGTCGTGGAATATTAGGGGTCTAAATAACCCCAATAAACAGTGGGAAATAAAAGATTTGGTTAATAAAAATAATATTAGTATTATGGGTCTCTTAGAGACTAAAATAAAGATTGAAAAGGAGAAGGAAGTACTTGGAAGAATGTTTAATGGTTGGGGCACATTCACTAATATTGAGCATCATCCCCTTGGAAGGATTTGGGTCATTTGGAATAAAAAGAAAGTCAGCACTCAAGTAAATGACAGCTCTTCACAAGCTGTTCATTGCAAGATAAGAGATCTGGAGAACTCCAAGTACTACTGGATAACTTTTATCTATGCGCTAAATGATCAAGGAGCTAGAAAACAGTTGTGGGAAAATTTAATTCAATATGCAGAGACCATGAATGACCCTTGGTGCTGCATTGGTGATTTTAATGCACCTTTAGACAGCAAAGATAGGAAAGGAGGATTGGCAGTAACTGAAGAGGAAATGAAGGACTTCAAGGAGTGCGTGATGAGATGTGGGCTAGAGGAAATTCCATATGTGGGCCCTTACTACACTTGGACAGACAAACAAGGTCCAGGTAAAAGAATTTGGTCCAAACTTGACAGGGCATTTTCCAATGACGTTTGGATGGCTGAGCTGAATACTAAAACTAGAATACTAAATGAGGGAGTATCTGACCACAGTCCACTTTTAGTAACTAGGATTAGTACTATTAAACAATCAAAGGCTTTCAGATTTTGTAATATGTGGCTTGAGGACTACAATCTGCCTTTGATTATAAACCAGGGATGGAAAAAGGATTTGAACAACAGAAATATGTACCAGCTGGTGACTAATCTAAGGAACTTAAAAAGACCGTTACGTAAACTGCATAATGACAGGTATAGAGGGATCCATAGACAAGTGGATGAAGCTTGGGAGGAGTTACTTGAATTTCAGCAAGAGATCAAGAATGTGGTCATGTCACATGAACTGATCTCAAAGGATAGATTGCTAACTGACAAACTTCATAAAACAATCAGAGCTTCATACATCCTAAAATGCCAGCAAAGCAAACAAGACTGGATAACTGAAGGGGATAAAGCATCAAGACTGTTCCATGCTTGGCTAAAAAAGAGAATTATACAGAACCAAATTCTAACCATCCATGATGATAAGGGAGGTCTTATTGAGGGGACAGATCATATTGCAGAAGTCTTTATCAGATATTACACAAAGCTTCTGGGAACCAAAACTGCCACTACAGGTATTGATGCAGACATCATGAAAAAAGGGAAAACTCTGAACATAGAACAACAGCTTCAACTTATCAGACCTTTCAATGCAAAACATGTGAAAGATGCAATGTCCTCAATCCCTAATACCATAAGCCCTGGGCCTGATGGGTATGGAAGTGGAGTCTTCAAGGGACAATGGTCAATAGTGGGGGAATTAACTACCAAAGCTGTGCTGGATTTCTTTAAGGAAGGAAAATCTTTGGTTCAGATTAATGCTACACTGTTGACTGTACTCCCTAAGGTGTCAGATCCTAAGGATCCTACTGAGTACAGGCCAATAGCTTGCTAAAACACCATATATAAAGTGATCTCTAAATTGATCTGTCTGCGTTTGAAGGAAGTCCTGCATCAAATAGTTGATCTAAATCAAAGAGCTTATCTTCAGGGCAGAGAACTAATTCACAATGTACTGATGACCCAGGAGATAGCTAAAGGGTACAATAGAAAGAATTGTTCTCCTAGGTGCATGATGAAGTTAGATCTTCAAAAAGCATATGACTCCATTAGCTGGGAGGCTCTCGAAGGTATCCTATATTACCTCAAATTCCCTAAGCAGTTCATTGGATGGATCATGTTCTGTGTTACAACACCTACCTATTCTATCAACATCAATGGGGGTCATCATGGTTACATCAAGGCAGCTAAAGGACTTAGGGACCCTATCTCTCCTCTTTTATTTGTTTTAGTGATGGAATATCTAACCAGAAGTTTTCAAGCAGTAGTTTTCAAGGGAAGTGGCTTCAAATTCCATCCAATGTGTGGTAAATTGAGAATTGTGAATCTTTGCTTTGCTGATGACTTAATTGTAGTGAGTAAGGCAGACCAGAACTCAATTACCTGCATCATGAAGGTGTTAGAAGAATTTAGACGAGCTACAGGATTGAGTATCAACAAAATAAATCTCAAATAGTTTTTGGAGGGGTGCAGCAAAAACAGAGAGAGTTGTCTGCCTTGGCAGGCATAAAGGTTGGCAGCTTCCCCCTCACCTACCTGGGTAGTCCTATTACTACAGCAAGGTTAAAACAAGGTGACTGTGAGGTGCTGATAAATAAATTGACCAGTAAGATAACTGCATGGGGCACTAAACATTTATCTTACATAGCCAGAGTGAGAGTCATTAACTCTGTATTGATAGGGATTGCCTCATTCTGGTCAAGAATTTTCATTTTACCCAAGCAAGTTATGAAGAGAGTGATGGCCATTTGTAGGAACTACTTGTGGGGGAGCTCTGACAAATATAAGAAAGTACCACTTGTGAATTGGGATGAGGTTTGTCAAGCAAAGAAACATGGAGGGCTTGGGATTAAAAATCTGGTTAAGTGGAATAAAGCTTCTATCATGAAACTCAATTGGGATATTGCCAACAAAAAAGATATCCTATGGGTTAAGTGGATTCATAATAGATACATCAAAAATGCAGATTTTTAGGGATACATTCCAAAAGTAGACTCATGCCACTATTGGAGAGAAATGATTAAAGTGAGAGAGCAGTTCAGAGAAATGCCTAAGGGGAAACAATACAACGTCAGGGATGGTTACCAATGGCTGCAGGGGGAGAGACATACTCCCAGTTGGAAGAAAATTGTCTGGAACAAACTAACTCCACCAAAGTTCAAATTCATAGCTTGGCTCCTAATGAAAGGAAGAATACAGACTAAAGCCAGAATTTCAAAGTACACAACAGTGGATCTGAGATGTGTTTTGTGTGGACAAGGAGATGAGGATGATTCTCACCTTTTCTGGGAATGTTCTAGCGCGCAACAGATTCTAAGGAAAAGTGGCAGAAAGCTCAACAGGGACATTTCAGTGAGTAACTACCCTGAGTTAGAGGAATTCATTAAGAAGCTTTCAACCATGAAAGACAGAATGCAAGCTATAGCACAGCTAGTGTTTATGGTATTTGGAGGATGAGAAACAAAATCATGCACCAAAAGAAGTGTACGATTGAGGATACAATTGATTATATCTATTTCTACCTTACGAGCTATTTTACATATAGGAAGATGATGTAAATTGGAGGTCAAAGATGTTTGTATGATCTTGATGTGGTATTAAAATGTGTGTTTTATGTGCAAAAAAATATGATATACTACGTACGTAATTCATTCAGCATAATATTTTTCTAATTTTGAAATATTTTTTTTGTATTTTTTGGTGGATTCTGCTATTTCGGGACATCGACCCGACGAACTCGGTATCGGATTAACGCTGCACCGAATAACAAAGTCTAATAAACAAATAAAGCGAAAAGAACATAGTTTTACTTAGAAGTCTAAATCGGAAGAAAATCACATACCTTTTTAGATGGTATCATGCCAACTAGGAGGAAGTAGCTAAGTTGTATATGTAGAGTATAGGAGATTGTAGAACTGGCCTCCTCTCTCCCCCATGGATCCTCCTTTTATAATTGAGTGGAGGAGATACTATGGAGACATTAGGATCATGTTCCATGTGAAGTTTATATTCCTTTTTTATGTGAATATGTTACTCAAGTCCCAAGTGAATAGTTACACATTACTTCAAATGTAACTTTTTGTCTACCGATCTTTGGCTCCATCATAAATAATTTATCTCAACTTCTATTTCGATGGGGACTACACTAGACTTTTGTGTCTGTTCAAATAATATTAATTGAATTAGATAAAATCTATAATCCATCATTTATCTATATTTGAAACATTTTATTTAACTTATTTTAAATTTTATTTTTTGCACAAACATCACAACTTCATTACTCAAACCAGACAAGTCATTACATCAACATAAGCTAAAACGTTGTCCTACTATCTTTATACATTACAAAACTTCTAATATAAAGTAGTGCATACTAGATTGCTTCCTCGACAGAGCAATTGTCCTGAAGCCTCTTTTTGTTCCTCATTCCCCATATGTTGTACACACAGCATGCCCATATTGCCACTACTTGCATCCTTCTCTTTCCCCCATTCTTTTGGACTAACTCTTCCAAGTCTTGGAGTTTCATTATCCTCACTTGCAGATTATGAACGTTATAGTAGGTGGTAATAATCTCCTGAGCTACTGGGCATTCCCAGAATAAATGGATATCACTCTCTTCACTCAATCCATATAGCTCACAATCTGTATTTATGTTGATGTATCTTTCAATTCTTACCTTTGTTTGTATTCTCCCTCTCATTAATAGCCAGGTAATAAATTGAAACTTAAGAGGTGTAAGTTTGTTCCACACCATGTTCTTCCACCTAGGAGCCAATCATATCCATCATTTATATTGTATTTTTTCTCCATTGGCATTGTCTTGAAGATCTCTCTAACCCTAATCATCTCTTTCCAGTAATAGAATGGATCTTGGCTGGGAGAGTACTCCCAGAAGTCTGCATTCTTGATGTACCTGCCATGTATCCATTTTACCCACAATATATCCTTTTTCTCAGCCACTTCCTAATTTAGTTTCATAATGGCAGCTTTCTTCCAGTTTGCTGCATTCTTTACTCCCAATCTCCCTTGTTTCTTCTTCTGACACACTTCTTTCCATCTTACCAGAGGTATTTTCATATACTTATCTGAGCTACCCCACAAAAAATTCCTGCATATAGCCATGACCCTTTTCATAATCTGGCTTGGTATGTGAAATGCTTTGTCCCCCATGTTGTGATCTTACATGTCAGTTTGTTAATGAGAGCTTCACAGTCACTTTTTTTTCATTTTTGTAGTTGTGATAGGGCTACCTAAATAAGTGAAAGGGAGACTCCCATGTTTCATACCTGTCACCCCTAATACTCTTCTTTGAGCTGGCTATTTATCCCTCCAAAGACTATCTGAGATTTATTGGTATTTATACTAAGTCCAGTAGCTTGCTTAAATTCCTCTAACACCCTCATGATGCATTTAATAAAGTTTCTATCTGCTTTACTTACAACAATAAGATCATCTGCAAAGCAGATGTTCACAATCTTTATATCCCTACACATAGGGTGGAATTTAAAGTTTCCATTCTGTACAGCAACTTGGAAACTCCTTGTTAGGTACACTCCATCACCAAAAAAAATAGAAGGGGGGAAACTGGTCCCCCCTGTCTTAAGCCTTTTGCCCCCTTAATGAACCCATATTGTCCCCCATTGATATTAAGTGAGAATGTAGTTGTAGTAACACAAAACATAATCCACTTAATAAACAAGTCAGGAAACATAAGGCTTTGTAGTATACCTTTGATGGCCTCCCAACTGACTGAGTCATAAGCTTTTTGGATATCCAGTTTCATCATACACCTTGGTGAGTTATTCTTCCTGTTGTATCCCTTGGCAATCTCTTAGCAGACAAGGACATTATGAATTAATTCTCTCCCCTGAACAAAGGCTCCCTGGTTTAAGTCCACAATATAGGGTAGGACCTCCTTCACTCTCTTACTAATCGGTTTGGATATCACCTTATAGATTGTATTACAGCAAGCAATATATAAGTCTGTACTCCTATGGTTTTTTGAGGTCTGTCAACTTATTTTAAATTTTTTGCTACAGAGTAAAAATTAATTCTTTTTCATCATGATTTAAAATGTCATTAAAAACTATTTTGGGGTGTGGTCCCTAAATCCTCGTGCCCCTTGTCATTAGTATTCATGGATTCACCACAATTTGAATGGAAAAGAAAAGAAATGGTTTTCTCTCATTTTTCTCACCAAAATGGAAGGAATTTGATTTCTCATCCTTTTAATACATTTTGTCTTCTCATTTTCTTTTTCTTTCACTTTTCTTTTCATTTCCTCTTTAACCAAACTAAAAAACATTTTCCTTCTCATTTTATTTTTCTTTCCCGGCCTCTCAAATTTTTTAAACCAAACATAATGTAAAAGTTTGGGAAATGGCTTTTCTGAGTTAGTTTTAGTATGTTGTTTAATGACTTTTCTCATCTATCTTTCGTATGAATGGAAATGTAGGTTTTTTGTCCGTAGAAAAGCTGAAAATTGTATTACGTATGAAACAAATTAGGCTCGAGTGAGAACATTAATAGTTAAGGATGTAATCAAATATACGGAGTACAAAAAAAGATGTAAGCATTTATTTCAGCTATGGAACAAATGAGTTTATTTCATTTGCTTGCTTCATTGCTTTTTTAAACGACCACGTATAAAATCTCATCAGTTTTAAAATTATTTTAATTATAAATTGTCAATTATTATAAAAATAAAAAGTATAAATTATACCGTTTAAAAATCCATTTAAAATTCTTTAAAACAAAATTTAGATATGCAATACGGAATTCTTCAAAACAAACAAACAAAAGTCATGAAAAGATTGTAATAGTAACAATTGTATCCATTTTGGGAGAGATAGAGTATTATGCAATACGAAATTCTTCGTATGAAAATTTAGATAGAGAGAAACTTCATAATAGAGAAAAAATGTCATAAATGTCATTTCAAGATTGAAAATAGGTTAGGAGGCATGTGTATGATTTAAAGAGTTAAAATTTTACAAATAACTTTTGAAAACAAATAAACTTTTGGTGATCATTTTGCAAACAAGGGGGAACACTCATGCTATTATCCTATATAAAAATGAGATGCCAATACGTAGGAGGTCGATATTATTAGGCGTTGCTTATGTTGCGTTTTTAACATAATTTATGACATGAAAAATATGAAATTAATGGTTTGATATGGAATCAATAAGTTTATTTAATACGAACTTCTTGAGTAGTAGGAGATTCACTTCCTAGGATTCATGAGGAAGTTCACCCAGGTTCGAGCCCTAGCGGATGCATTGACTCTGTGCGTTATTAGGTTGAGAAAGTATGAACAGATACTATATTATACTCCCCTGTCCCTCTAAGATCTTCTCATTTTGACTTTATGTAATTTTTAAGGAGAGTTGAAAAAGGGTAAAAGTTTACAATAATACCCTTAATGAAAATGAGTGGAGTGTATTAAATAAGGTGGGTAAGGTGTAATAAATAAAGTAAGTGAGGGTAGTTGTGGTATTTTGATTGTTAAAAGATGAAATGAGAAGATCTATTATGCACAAAAAAAGGTCTATTGGGAAGATCTATAAGGGACAAAGGGAGTAATAGATATAATAATACTAAAAACTAAGTTAATTTAAAGTGATAAAAATAAGTTAATTTAATTAATAAGGAGAGATCTTTGTTTTCATGATACTCTGTAATATTTTTCCCTTATACTATATTATTTTATCTTCATTTATAACGGAACTTTTAGATAATACTATCTCTGTCCCAGTGTTTTTATCCAGTTTAACTTTTTCGAGTTTGAACTCCAATTAATCTCAATTTATATTGCATATTAGCATTATGAAATATAATTTTGAAATTTCTCAATACAATGAATTCAATAAAGTCATTTTTATGTTAAAATACATTATGACTTTTATTTAATTGAAGCTTAAAGTTTGTCCAATTTGACTCGAAAAAGTCAAACTGGACAAATACACTGGGACGGAGGGAGTAAATAAGATACCTTCTTCTCCTCTAAATAAATTTTATATTTTTTTATACGCTTAAAGTAAATAAGTTAGGTTGGATTCTATTTATTTAAAATGATGATTTAAATTTTAAAACAATTTCTTCATCCGATTGGATTCTATTTTACTTATATTACAGAATAAAATTTATCAAAATGAAATGTGTGACCATACATGACTAAGGCTCCGTTCCGTTCAATTTATTTTTTCTGATCTGATCTGATTCTAATAAGTTCTGATCTGATCTGATTGGATCTGATCTGATCTGATTGGATCTGATCTGATCTGATTGGATCTGATCTGATTAATTATGATTTAATTTAAAATTTCAAATCAATAATTTAATTTGACTTTATAATAACGTTTGAAAATTGTAATGATAATTCATATTATAATATAATCAATATTTTTTATTTAATGATTCCTTTTTAATAAAATAAAAATAGTTATTTCATATATTAGAATAATCATTCATATTATAATGTAATAATATTTTTTATTTTATGATAATTTTTTTGTAAAATTAGAATTNATATACATTTAAAAGTAATTAAATTTAGATAATCAATATATAGAAGAGATAGTATTTTTATTAAAATATCTCATCCTTATAAAAGATCAAAAGTTTAGAAACTCAAATTACAAGTAGCAATAAAAATATATTTTAAAAGTAGAATTAGATTGACATTGTCAATGTATTTTAAAACTAATTTTTCCGACGTCTAATAATTAAGGATTACTTTCTCAGCTTTTTATTTAACCTATTTCTAAAGTTTATTCTTTTTCATTTTTAAGAACAATAATAATAATATTAATAATAATAATAATGATGACGATGATGATGATGATGATGATGATCATAATAATAATAATAATAATAATAATAATAATAATATAATAATAATAATAATGATAATAATAATAATAATATAATAATAATAATAATAATTCTTGATGAGATCTTATTTTAATAAGTCTTGATCTGATCTGATTGGATCTGATCTGATCTGATTGGATCTGATCTGATCTGATTGGATCTGATCTGATCTGATCTGATTCGATCTGATCTGATCTGATCTGATTCGATCTGATCTGATCTGATCTGATCTGGTCTGATCTGATCTGATTTGATTTCAATAAGAATAAGAAAAAATAAGTTGAACGGAACGGGGCCTTACTTATGTTTAGACTAACATTATATACGATTTTAATAAAATTGTATATTCATACTCCTTTCTCTCCTCAAATAAGTTTCCTTCCTCCCCTCCCACTCCTTTTCCAAACCCGTCGCGGAAGTTTGAAGCTTTGAACCCAAAACCGAAATCATCACTCTTCTCTCAATTGTTTGTCTAACTCGTGGAACCCAAATTCGAAACCAGTAACCTTGATGTGAGTTTTAATGTTTATTTTTTTTGTAATTTCTTCAGACTAACCGATAAAACTCAATCATAAAGCTTATTGGTTTTGATTTTAGGTTCCATTAAGACGACTAATAATTGAGAGAGGAATGATTATGTCAGTTTTGAGTTTAAAGTCAGCGATGAGTTTGGGAAAGAGTGCGAGGGGAGGAAGGAGCTTAATTGATGAGAGAAAGGAGTGTGAATTTACAATTTTATCTACGTTCTTAATGGAAATGTTAACAAAGGACCATTCGTGGAAATGAATATAATAATTGGGGACTAAATTAGTAATATTTGATATGTAGGAACTAAGTATGTAAAACGACCTATAACTGGGGACCTTTTATGGAATTTACTCAAAATAAAAACGTCCAAATGAAAGAAGATTCGCTCCGTTTACATGTACAAAATCATACATAGAAACCATATACTCCGTATATGAGAGAGAAACAACATAGATTTATGAATAGAAGATAGGAAAATTAAGGTGTAGAGAGAGCACAAGAACATTTGTGACAAGAGAGATTTTAAGTCATGTTCTCCTTAATTTACTTTCTTACTTATTACGGAGTACTTATTTTCATTGGAATCAAATCAGAGCAAATTAGAACCGGCTTTAAATATAACTACATTCATATCAGAACTTATTTCGATGAGATCAGGTTCATTCAGATTAGGTGAAAAGAATTTAACCTTAGATACGGTAGGATAAGACAAAAATAAGGAAATGTGCAAAGAAGGCTCGAAGTGCAAAAACCAAATACGGTTTACTGATTTAGACTCAATTACAACAAAATTATAGAGAGCCACGGAGTATAATTTCTAATTTGCAATTCTTTGTATTTTGATAAAACATTCAGTATTAACGAGAATACTTTCAAACAAATGAATAATTTTGTATTTAAAAAAAACCAAAAAAATGAATTAAAAAGTGTTTTTTTATTTTTACTTTTTTTTGCAAATTTTCCTTCTAAATCAAGAAAGAAAATATAAATTCTGTAATTTGCTCGGCGTATAAAAGAGCCAAAGTTTCACAGTTTCATCCCACCCAACGACCCAAGTATTCATTCCCCAAAAGTATAATTCGTCGCTACTCTTTATATATAAATAATCCCAGCTTTTCTTGAAAAATGGCGGTCGCCGGAGGCGGCAGCTGCGCAAACATGGTTAACACAGCCATACACGTCCTCAAGGGGCGGTGGTTCATGGTGTTCGCCACCATTCTCATCCTCTCCGCCTCCGGCGCCACCTACATGTTCGGCCTCTACTCCGGCGACATAAAGTCCACTCTGGGCTACGACCAGAGCACCCTCAACTTACTCAGCTTCTTCAAGGACTTAGGCGCCAACGTCGGCATCCTCGCCGGCCTGGTCAACGAAGTCACTCCGCCGTGGGCCGTGCTCACCATCGGCGCCGGCCTCAACTTCTTCGGCTACTTCATGCTCTGGCTCGCCGTCACCGGGAAAATCCCAGCCCCGAAAGTCTGGCAGATGTGCCTGTACATTTGCGTCGGCGCCAATTCCCAGTCATTCGCCAACACCGGCGCTCTGGTCACCTGCGTCAAGAACTTCCCCGGCAGCCGCGGCGCCGTCATCGGCCTCCTGAAAGGCTTCGTCGGCCTCAGCGGCGCGGTGTTCACCCAGCTGTACCACGCGATCTACGGCGGCGATTCCAAGTCCCTGATTCTGTTGATCGCGTGGGTCCCGGCGGTGGTCTCGGGACTCTTTCTCCGGACGGTGAGGATTATGAAGGCGCCGTCGATCGCCGACGAGCTGAGAGTGTTCTACAGGATCCTGTACGCGTCCCTGGGATTGGCCGGGTTTCTGATGACCATTATTATTCTCCAGAAGAAATTCGGTTTCAATAGAACGGAATATAGTCTTTGTGCCGCCGGGGTTCTTGTCCTGCTCTGTTTGCCTCTCGGGATTGTGATCAAGGAGGAGATCGGAATTTGGAACAAGAAGAAGATAGCGACGGTTGTCGTCACGGTAGACCAGAGGCCGCCGTTGACCGGTGGAGTCACCGGTGGTTTAACCCAAGAAAGCGGGAAGACAGAGAAAATGAGCATCAAATGGTGCCGGTATTTGAAATTCACTCTTTCTAAAATAAATTTGACTTTTTTGTTCATAACATTTTTATAAATTTCAACCCTGAAAATATAATTGGATTTGTTTTGGAATATAATTATGATTAATTAAAGTCTATACTCCCTCCATCCATCCATATGAAAATAGTCTTTTTATTTGATTTTTCTTGATCAAAATTTGTAAATTTTGATTTCAATTTTTAAAAAATTATATGTTATGTTTCAATATAAAAACAATATAATTAAATTTTTTATGAACATAGTTTTGAAATAATAAATAGTTATAAAATATGTTCATGTATAAATGTAAATATTAATTGTAAAAGTATTACACTGCAAACCGTAAAAAATCAAATGAGAAGATTATTTTCAACGAGAGAAGTAATAAATTTTTTATATCAATAACTCTGTTACAATGTAGCATGTGTTCATATATTTTCTCAAGCTCAAAAGTTATTGATTCATTGGAATTCGAATATTCCCTCCGTCCTAAAATTAACTTCCCATTTGACTTTCCAATGCGGCACTTTGACCATCAATATCTCCATTTTTATATGAATATATATTATCAAAATAATATATTTCAAAACTATGTTTCAAAATGAATCTATTGATACTAAATTTATATGAAAATTCAATATATTTTTTCCGTAATATGGAGTCAAAATTTTAAAACTTTGACTGCAAAAGTCAAAATAGGAAATTAATTTTAGAACGGAGGGAGTATAACATTTGATCTTCTATGTGAGAGAGTCATAGTAACACTGCTAGACCAAGTCTTGGCAAATCTTAATATGGAGTACTTTATATTCTCTTCCAAAATAAGTACCATGTTTCGGTTACGATATTGATTAAAATTATTTTTAAATCAAAATAACTAAAAATTATTCTTAAATTAAAATATAAAAATTATATTTTAAAAACTTTAACAAAAGTTTCGTTATTCAAATCAAAAGTTTCGTTAGTTTATAAACGATCAATAAAAAATGTATAAATAAAGAGTAATGCAAGGAGTACACCAAAGGGTGTACCCAAGTGTACACCACCCTCTTTTCCCCCACACATTTTTATTTGATTTTTATTAACTTAATTTTTTTGAATTTTTTTTGCCTCTTTTAGTGGACAATGAGGGGGTGAGGGATATTTGGGTACACCTTTGGTGTACCCCTAGCATTTTTCATAAATAAAATAGAGTTTGTTGACTTGTAAATAATAGCTAGATGTCTATTTTTGGGACACTTGAAAAAATATTAGTTATGTATAATTGATTTTTTTTACGATTTCAAATGTAACATTTAGACTATCAATATAGATATTTATACATAGATATATTTTCTTAAAATTTTATAATATTAAAAAAATTAATTTCAAAAGTATATTATAGATGTATTATATCTGTCTAATATTTGTTTAGTTTAATTTTTTTAATCAAATTGAACGGGCTTTAGATATCAATTAAGTAAAAAAATACAATATATATTTTTATGAAAATTACTTTATTAGATTAAACTCAATTTAATTATGTAAGTGCTATTGCTTTAGGAGGAATTTACTTAAATAGTACTAAAACATAATGACTTTCTCTAAATAACATCATATGTATTTTTCTTCCCAATGTAGCACTTTTAGTCATTATGCATTAGTCATTATTCAAGCAAATATTCGATATCACTGGTCATTATAGACATTATTAAGTGCCATTTAGAGAAAAAAAACAATGTAAGTACTATTTAGAAAAATGATTTAAGTTTTACTACTATTTGCAAATATTTCATTGGCTTTAGTGTACAAATGTTTCTTTTAACTTTTGGATAGGAGTTTGGAAAGCTTAAGATCAACTCCAGTGGAGAAAAGCGAGGTTTCTTGCTGGAAGTCGGCATTCCGGCCGCCGGAGACGGGGGAAGACCACACTATAATCCAAGCGCTCTTTAGCGCCAACATGTTGATTCTCTTATTAGCCACAATCTGCGGCGTAGGAGGGACGCTGACGGCGATCGACAACTTGGGACAGATCGGGGCGTCGCTCCGGTACCCGAAACAGAGCATCGGCACATTCGTGTCTCTGGTGAGCATATGGAACTACGCCGGCAGAGTGGTCGCCGGATTCCTGTCGGAGCATTTCCTGGCGAAGTACAGGTTCCCCAGAACTCTGATGCTCACGGGAGTCCTTCTGGCGGCAGTCGCCGGCCACCTGCTGATCGCCTTCGACGCCCGCGGCGGGCTCTACGTGGCGTCGGTGATCATAGGGTTCTGCTTCGGGGCCCAGTGGCCGTTGATTTTCGCCATCATCTCCGAGCTCTTCGGGCTCAAGTACTATTCCACCCTGCTCAATTTCGGGTCGGCGGCGAGCCCGATCGGGTCGTACTTGCTGAACGTGAGGGTGGTGGGGCACCTGTATGACAGAGAGGCGGAGAGGCAGATGAGAGCGTTGGGGAAGACGAGGAAGGGAGGGGTAGAATTGGAATGTGTTGGGGTTGAGTGCTTCAGATTGGGGTTTCTTATCATCGCCGCCGTCACGGTTTTTGGAGCCGCCGCGTCGGCCGTCTTGGTGGTTCGGACTAGCAAGTTCTACAAGAGTGACATTTATGAGAAGTTCCGGGAGGAGGCCGAGACTGAACCAAATCGGAGTACAAATCTGGCACAGAACTAAAGTATCCTTCGAAATCTTAAGAGGAACAAAACTTTTTTTAAGGTACTTTTATTTAATTTGTTGTTGATGTATAATTGTATAAATATACTCTTGAGAATTGAGATTGAGTTTTATTGTCATCGCCGCCGTCATGGTGTTCGGATCCGCCGTGGCGGCCATCTTGGTGGTGAGGATTAAGAGCATTTTCATTAGTGATGTTTGAAACATGTCTAAAAATAATGTCCAAGTTATACTGGACATTTAGTTGAATAATGACTAATGGTCTTACCTTTGAAATTAAAAACATATGGTCATATATTGAAAAAGTCATTATGTTTTAGTCCTATTTAATTAAACAGTAAGTCTAAAATGACACCAGTGTTATTGGTGTCATTTGCTTACACCAGTTCGTTTGAGGTACCTACGGTGCTCCGTTTGTAAGAACGACGGTTCCTACCCCCAACCCTCTCCCTAAACCTCCCACCCCAGCTCCACCCTTGCGTCCCCACCCTAGCCCCCCCTCCCGCCCCCCTCCCTACCCTGGCAGTAGTGCCAGGGTAGGGAGTGTAACACCCCAACCCGCAAGACCCAAACCCGTGAGACAGCGGACCGGTGTGCTACTGAATTGGTATCCGAATTTGCGACATTTTCAAAACAATTTTAAACAAACGTTCTTTCAATACATATAAAAATCCATCGGAGTAATTTAAAATAATGCGGAAGCCTTTTTAAAGTCAAACAACTTGGGATCTTGCCCGAAAACGTAATAAGCATTAAAGTTAATTAAATAAAGCATAATCAACAGATTAAAGAGACAGCCACGCCATCGTACATCTCCTCCTCAATGCCTTCTGGGATCGGCTCTAGGTTCATCTATCTGATCACCTACGGACAGCAAAAAGGAAAACAACGCTATCCGCTCAGCATTGACGCTGAGTGGTACTCCATTGTAGAACAAGAATAAATATAATAATTCAACAATTAAGATCGTGCATATGTTTATCCTTTTAATAAAAATCAATTCAACTTTGCATTCGGTTCTTTAGACGGTTGACCAACGGTCAACTTATTTTCTTTCTTTTCAAAACGATTTAGGTGTTACGGTTTTCTCATGAACTCTTTGACCACCGGTCAAACCAATTTAGACTTTCACC